GGTAGGGAAATTTTTATTGCATTTATGGATTTAGAAAAGGCATATGATAGTGGATAGGGGAGCAGTGTGGCAGATGTTGCAAGTACAGGAGGGCCCCGCTTTACGGCGTTTCGCTTTATGGCATTCCGCTAATACGGACATTTCAAATTATGACCAAAACTCGCTATACGGCTCCCCCACCTGTCTTTCTAATACGGTCACAGCGGCCCACCGAGTTTGTTTACATTCTCCCTGAGCACATCTCCTTATTATGTCTGGAAACTTTCCAAAATTTCAAGTGTTTTAAAGTTATTGTATACCTGGAGTTTTACCTGGTAATTAATTAAACTTGTGTACACCTGTACCTAAATAAACTTACACACTGTGCTGGCATGTAGGTACACATTAAAATCACTAAGAGTCTCTCTACTCTTGATGCAATAATAATAATAATAATAATAATAATAATAATAATAATAATAGTAATAATAATAGTAATAATAATAATCTCTTGGGCGCATTAATGTCGCATATTACGTTAATATAGACATTTCCCTTAATCTATCTATGATATTTTTTTTCAAAATTATATAAGAAACACATTATGTAACACACAAACATGATACATGCACCCACAGTATAAAAATTTATACAAATATATACGAGATGTTTACCAAACGGTTTGTAGAAGTGTCGGAAGAATTACGTTTTCTCTAGCCCGTCACCTGTTACTAGGGATAACTGTAGAAAAATATTCCTTTCGTATGCCTTCACTTTATAGCTATAATTCTGTACTAACTTGTACACAGTGTAAGAGTATTTGTTTCGTGATTTAATTATTATAATAATAATAAAAATATTATAAGGTAAAAGTTTCACAAACTTTTACAAATGTACATGAATGAACTAAAACTGGACACGTATTAATACCGTCTATTTCGCCTGACCGAGTGATCGTCCACACCTGTTCAGTTTGTTTACGCTGTCTGAGCTCGGTGTATCATTAAATGTTGTATATTACGTTAATATACACATTTTCATTAATCCATCCATGATATTTTTTTCGAAATTATATAATAAACACGATACATAACATAAATACATAACATATGTGTAGAGAACCTAGGATAACCAAAAAAAGTCAGAGTGACTTACTTCCATTGCCTTCACCAGAGCATCATTTCTTCTCAAAATGATGTTACATGAGAATGGGAGTGTTCTTCTTTATTTATTCTACCGTATCAATGTAGAGACAACCTGTACACAATGTAACTTGTACACAAACCAGACGTGTACACTGTTTACAAAACTTACCTTCGCCTGGTTTGTTTGCATAACTCTGCGCCTGTCCTCTCTCATGTACTCATTCTTTCTCTCTGGAATGGTAGCCTGGCTGACTACCATACATACCACACTTGATTTTTTACAATAAATACTACTCATCTCGCCCTATATTTTAAGGTAAGTAATGAGTGAACTGTATATACATTTTATCGCTCTGGGATGCTTAAATATCATAGAATAGTATGTGTGGGTGGGGTGGCCTGGCATGGTAGCCTGGCTGACACCATACATACCACACTTGATTTCTTACAATAAATACTACTTGTCTCACCCTAGATTAAGACTATAAATATTTTAAGGTAAGTAATGAGTGCACTGTGTGTGTATTGTACTTTTTTTATTGTTTTTTGATGCCTGGTTCTATTGCTAACATAATATATGTTAGTGTAAACTTGTTATCTAGTGTTTGTATGCATTTGTAAGTGGAAAAAAAGGGTGTTCCACTTTACGGCTGTTTCTGCTTTATGGCGGTAGCCTGGAACCTAACCCGCCGTATAAGTGGGGCCCTCCTGTATATGGAATAGGTGGTAAGTTACTAAATGCTGTAAAGAGTTCTTATGAGGATAGTGGGGCTCAGGTTAGGGTGTGTAGAAGAGAGGGAGACTACTTCCCGGTAAAAGTAGGTCTTAGACAGGGATGTGTAATGTCACCATGGTTGTTTAATATATTTATAGATGAGGTTGTAAAAGAAGTAAATGCTAGGGTGTTCGGGAGAGGGGTGGGATTAAATTATGGGGAATCAAATACAAAATGGGAATTGACACAGTTACTTTTTGCTGATGATACTGTGCTTATGGGAGATTCTAAAGAAAAATTGCCAAGGTTAGTGGATGAGTTTGGGAGTGTGTGTAAAGGTAGGAAGTTGAAAGTGAACATAGAAAAGAGTAAGGTGATGAGGGTATTAAATGATTTAGATAAAGAAAAATTGGATATCAAATTGGGGAGGAGGAGTATGGAAGAAGTGAATGTTTTCAGATACTTGGGAGTTGACATGTCGGCGGATGGATTTATGAAGGATGAGGTTAATCATAGAATTGATGAGGGAAAAAAGGTGAGTGGTGCGTTGAGGTATATGTGGAGTCAAAAAACGTTATCTATGGAGGCAAAGAAGGGAATGTATGAAAGTATAGTAGTACCACCATTCTTATATGGGTGTGAAGCTTGGGTTGTGAATGCAGCAGTGAGGAGGCAGTTGGAGGCAGTGGAAATGTCCTGTTTAAGGGCAATGTGTGGTGTAAATATTATGCAGAAAATTCGGAGTGTAGAAATTAGGAGAAGGTGTGGAGTTAATAAAAGTATTAGTCAGAGGGCTGAAGAGGGGTTGTTGAGGTGGTTTGGTCATTTAGGGAGAATGGATCAAAGTAGAATGATTTATATTATTATTATTATCACACTGGCCGATTCCCACCAAGGCAGGGTGGCCCGAAAAAGAAAAACTTTCACCATCATTCACTCCATCACTGTCTTGCCAGAAGGGTGCTTTACACTACAGTTTTTAAACTGCAACATTAACATTAGCATTTAAATCTGTAGGTGAAGGAAGGCGGGGTAGGGGTCGTCCTCGAAAAGGATGGAAGGAAGGGTAAGGGAGGTTTTGTGGGCGAGGGGCTTGGACTTCCAGGAGGTGTGCATGAGCGTGTTCGATAGGAGTGAATGGAGACGAATAGTATTTGGGACTTGACAATCTGTTGGAGTGTGAGCAGGGTAATATTTAGTGAAGGGATTCAGGGAAACCGGTTATTTTTATATAACCGGGCTTGAGTCCTGGAAATGGGAAGTACAATGCCTGCACTCTAAAGGAGGGGTTCGGGATATTAGCGGTTTGGAGGGATATGTTGTGTATTTTTATATGTACTATATGCTTCTGAACTGTTGTGTTCTGAGCGCCTCTGCAAAAGCAGTGATTGTGTGTGAGTGAGGTGAAAGTGTTGAATGATGATGAAAGTATTTTCTTTTTGGGGATTTTCTTTCTTTTTGGGTCACCCTGCCTCGGTGGGAGACGGCCGACTTGTTAAAAAAAAAAAAATTAAAATTATTTACTTCTTTGTATGCTATGTATACAGAATACTCGATAAAAACATTAACCTAGAGCTTAAACTCTATCTGGAAAGCTACAGCAGAATACATGGACTAAGAACAAGCATCTCTTTGATATTCTATGTGTATAACTTGACCTGTTCAAAAACTGTGATGATAACAGGCTCCAAAACATGGATCTCCCAACATTTTTACTTGTTACAAAGCAACTGTTAACTCTTACATTATTAATGTTATATCCATTAATTGTTTGTGAATTCTCAAATTCAGTGTAATTTATCTTAATGTTATTGTCCATTTCATTTGCAACTTTCCTCAAGCTGTAATGATAAACAGTGACTAAAATTATATGCTAGATCTAGATTCAGATATGGTAGTATGTAAACTATATAATTAGTTTGCTCAGAATATATTGCAAAATAAATAGCTTTCTTCTGAGCTTGCAATTTTATCAGATTATATTTGTAATTTTTTTTTTTAACACAACAACCATCTCCCACAAAGGTAGGGTGACCCCCTCAAAAAAAGAAGAAGAAACGATGTTTTTCTTTGTTTTACTTTTAGTAATTTATACAGGAGAGGGGGTTACTAGCCCCTTGCTCCCAGCATTTTAGTCGCTTCTTATGATACACATGGCTTACAGAGGAAGGATTCTTTTCCACTTTCCCATGAGATTTATATTATAATTATATAAAAATAAAAAATGTAATTAGTTGAGATGTACAACTAACTACTGTAACTTCTTTATATGGCTCATAAGAAATAAAAATTTATATGGCTCATAAGAAATAAAAATTTATTTTTTTTTGTGCAAGAGAGAGTGAGAGTGAGAGTGAGAGAGAGTGAGAGTGAGAGAGAGTGAGAGAGAGTGAGAGTGAGAGTGAGAGTGAGAGAGAGTGAGAGTGAGAGAGAGTGAGAGAGAGTGAGAGTGAGAGTGAGTGAGAGTGAGTGAGTGAGAGTGAGTGAGAGTGAGTGAGAGTGAGTGAGAGTGAGTGAGAGTGAGTGAGAGTGAGAGAGAGTGGGGAGTGAGAGAGAGTGAGAGAGAGTGAGAGTGAGAGTGAGAGTGAGTGAGAGTGAGAGTGAGTGAGAGTGAGAGAGAGTGAGAGAGAGTGGGAGTGAGAGAGAGTGAGAGTGAGAGTGTGTGAGAGTGAGAGTGTGAGAGTGAGAGTGTGTGAGAGAGTGTGAGAGAGTGAGAGTGAGTGAGAGAGAGTGAGAGTGAGTGAGAGTGAGTGAGAGTGAGTGAGAGTGAGTGAGAGTGAGAGAGAGTGAGAGTGAGAGAGAGTGAGAGAGAGGTGAGAGTGAGAGAGAGTGAGAGTGAGAGTGTGTGAGAGAGTGAGAGTGAGTGAGAGAGTGAGAGTGAGTGAGAGAGTGAGAGTGAGTGAGAGTGAGTGAGAGAGTGAGAGTGATAGAGAGAGTGATAGAGAGAGAGAGAGGAGAGAGAGAGTGATAGAGAGAGAGAGAGAGAGAGAGAGAGAGAGCATGTGTGTGAGAGAGAGGGAGGGAGGGGAGGGGATGGGATGTATGGAAGAAGCACAAGATGCTATTGTACAGAAATGTTCAAACGTGGAAGTAAAGTTGAAAAACTTTTATGTAAGAATATACATTTTGCAGTGGTTTACCAGTTTATATTCATTCAACAGGTGGCTTACGTCGTGGTGCAGCAAACATCAATGGGGAATCAGTTTATCATTTACTAAAATATGAAGGGGGTATTCACCGTGTCCAAAGAGTTCCGAAGACTGAGAAGGCTGGTCGCATTCACACTTCCACTGTCTCGGTTGCTGTCATGGTTCAGCCATCAGAAGTAAGCTCCGTTCATTGCCTAGTAAAACCCACATTTGCTTTCACTTGCGAAATAATTTGCTATATGAATTTTTTTTTTTTGCAAACCCATTTCATAGATGTTTTTTATACTAAGAGGAAACATGCTTTCCAGTTTTGTTATCATTTATATGTACAGTAAGGCCCCACTTATATGGCATGTTAGGTTCCAGGCTACCACCGGAAAGTGAACATTGCTGGAAAGCAGAACACCATGTTTTTCCACTTTTAAATGTACAGTGGACCCCAGGTATTTGATATTAATCCGTTCCTGAGAGCTCATCGAATACCAAAAATATCGAAAAGCGAATCAGTTTTCCCCATAAGAAATAATGGAAATCAAATTAATCCGTGCAAGACACCCAAAAGTATGAAAAAAAAAAATTTACCACGTGAAATATTAAGTTTAATGCAATAGAATAATTACAATAACAATAGAATAATTGACACTTACCTTTAATGAAGATCTGGTGATGATGGGATGGGAGGAGGGGAGAGTGTCGAAGTTGTTACTGTTTAGAAGGGGAATCCCCTTCCATTAGGACTTGAGGTAGCAAGTCCTTTTCCGGGGTTACTTCCCTTCTTCTTTTAATGCAACTAGGACCAGCTTGAGAGTCACTGGACCTCTGTCGCACAACATATCTGTCCATAGAGGCCTGTATCTCTCGTTCCTTTATGACTTTTCTAAAGTGATTCACAACATTGTCAGTGTAATAGTCACCAGCATGGCTTGCAATACCTATGTTAGGGTGATTGTCATCAAAAAAGGTTTGCACTTTAAGCCACACTGCACACATTTCCTTAATCTTTGAAGTAGGCAACTTCCTCAATTTCTCTATCCCCTCCTCCGAAGCAGTTTCCTCAGGTCTGGCCTCTTGCTGTTGAAGATGATCTAGCAGCTCATCAGTGGTTAGTTCGTCATTATCCTCCTCCACCAACTCTTCCACATCCTCCCCACTAACCTCCAACCCCAAGGACTTCCCCAATGCCACAGTGGATTCCTCAACTGGCATAGGATTCCCAGGGTTAGCCTCAAACCTTTCAAAATCCCTTTTGTCTACACATTGTGGCCACAGTTTTTTCCAAGCAGAGTTCAAGGTCCTCTTAGTCACTCCCTCCCAAGCCGTACCTATAAGGTTTACACAATTGAGGATATTAAAGTGATCCTTCCAAAACTCTCTTAGAGTCAATCGAGTGTCTGAGGTCACTACAAAGCACTTTTGAAACAGCTTTTGTGTACAGTTTCTTGAAGTTGAAAATGACCTGCTGGTCCATGGGCTGCAGGAGGGGAGTGGTATTAGGAGGCAAAAACTTGACCTTAATGAAGCTCATGTCCCCAGAAAGTCGCTCTTGCCAAGTCTGTAGGATGACCAGGGCATTGTCTAATACCAGGAGGCACTTAAGGTCTAATTTCTTTTCAATTAGGTAATTTTTGACAGTGGGGGCAAATGCATGGTGTAACCAGTCATAGAAAAAGTCCCTAGTGACCCATGCCCTATTATTTGCCCTCCACAGCACACAAATTAGCCTTGAGGACATTGTTTTTCCTGAACACTCTGGAAGTTTCAGAGTGTTACACCAATAAAGGCTTCACTTTGCAATCACCACTAGCATTGGCACACATCAACAGAGTAAGCCTGTCTTTCATAGGCTTGTGTCCTGGGAGTGCCTTTTCCTCCTGAATAATGTAGGTCCTGCTTGGCATTTTCTTCCAAAACAGGCTTGTTTCATCGCAATTAAACACTTGTTCAGGTTTAAATTCTTCACTGTCTATGTAATCCTTGAATTCCTTCACATACTTTTCAGCTGCTTTTTGGTCCGAACTGACAGCTTCACCATGCCTAATCACACTATGTATGCCACTACGATTCTTAAATCTTTCAAACCAACCTTTGCTGGCTTTAAATTCACTCACATCAGCACTAGTTGCAGGCAATTTCTTTACCAAATCGTCATGCAGCTGCCTAGCCTTTTCACAAATGATTGCTGGAGAGATGCTATCTCCTGCTATCTGTTTTTCATTTATCCACACCAATAACAGTCTCTCAACATCTTCTAACACTTGCGGTCGCTGTTTCATAATCACAGTTGCACCTTTTGCAAGAACAGCTTCCTTGATTGCCGTTTTCCTGGTCACTATAGTAGAGATGGTTGATTGGGGTTTATTATACAACCTGGCCAGCTCCGACACATGCACTCCACTTTCGTACTTTGCAATTCTCTCTTTCTTAATTTTAATAGTCATTAGCACCTTTTTTCTCGAAGGGTTGGCACTAGAAGCTTTCTTGGGGCCCATGGTGACTTATTTTGCAGAAAACAAGCCCAAAAACAGTGATAATATGGAATGTACCGAATGTATCCTTAGATGCGCGCACACTGCCTGACTTGTAAACACTGGCACACACGGAGCAGTTCAGGCCACCCGTGGACACGTCTCGTACGAATCGCATCGAGTACCGGGTTTTTAATCGGATACCGAGGCGGAATTTTTGCGTTAAAATGCATCGAATACCGGATTTATCGGATACTGTTGCCATCGAATACCGGGGGTCCACTGTATATAAATGCCAGATAACAAGTTTACACTAACATATACAGTGGAACCTCGGTTTTCATCATTAATTCATTCCAGAAAGTCTGACGAAAACCAAATTCAACAAAAGCTGAAGCAATATTTCCCATAAGAAATAATGTAAATCCAATTAATCCATTCCAGACACCCAGAAGTATTAACAAAAAATACATTTTATAAAGAATAACTATAGTTTTACATACAGCAAACAGTGAGAAATAAATTCTTTCTTTCAACACACTGGCTGTATCCCACCGAGGCGGGGTGGCCCAAAAGGAAACACGAAAGTTTCTCCTTTTACATTTAGTAATATATACAGGAGAAGGGGTTACTAGCCCCTTGCTCCCGGCATTTTAGTCGCCTCTTACAACACGCATGGCTTATGGAGGAAGAATTCTGTTCCACTTCCCCATGGAGGTAAGAGGAAATAAACAAGAACAAGAACTAAAAAGAAAATAGAAGAAAACCCAAAGGGGTGTGTATATATATGCTTGTACATGTACAATGGTACCTCAAAAATCGAACTTAATCCGTTCCAGGAGCTAGTTCTAAATTCGAAAAGTCTGAAATTCGAAGCAATATTTCCCATAAGAAATAATGGAAATACAATTAATCTGTTCCAGAAACCCAAAAATATTCACAAAAAACATTTTATAGAGATTAATTACAGTTAATCTCTGTTTCTGTCTCACAAAATAACTGTCCACAGTCGTCTGTTTCTGTCTCACAAAATAACTGTCCACAGTCGTCTGTTTCTGTCTCACAAAATAACTGTCCACAATCATCTGTAAGGTAGTAGGTTGGTAGACAGCAACCACCCAGGGAAGTACTACCGTCCTGCCAGATGACTGTGAAACAGAAACCTGTAACTGTTTTACATGATGGTAGGATTGCTGGTTTTCTTTTTCTTTTTCTGTCTCATAAACACGCTAAGATAACAGGGATATCTTGCTACTCCTACTTACACTTTGGTCACACTTCACAGACACGCACATGCATATATATATATATACATACATCTAGGTTTTTCTCCTTTTTCTAAATAGCTCTTGTTCTTTTTTATTTCTTTCTATTGTCCATGGGGAAGTGGAAAAGAATCTTTCCTCCGTAAGCCATGCGTGTCGTATGAGGCGACAAAAATGCCGGGAGCAATGGGCTAGTAACCCCTTCTCCTGTATACATTTACTAAAAAAAAAGAGAAGAAAAAACTTTATAAAACTGGGTTGCTTAAATGTGCGTGGATGTAGTGCGGATGACAAGAAACAGATGATTGCTGATGTTATGAATGAAAAGAAGTTGGATGTCCTGGCCCTAAGCGAAACAAAGCTGAAGGGGGTAGGAGAGTTTCAGTGGGGGGAAATAAATGGGATTAAATCTGGAGTATCTGAGAGAGTTAGAGCAAAGGAAGGGGTAGCAGTAATGTTAAATGATCAGTTATGGAAGGAGAAAAGAGAATATGAATGTGTAAATTCAAGAATTATGTGGATTAAAGTAAAGGTTGGATGCGAGAAGTGGGTCATAATAAGCGTGTATGCACCTGGAGAAGAGAGAAATGCAGAGGAGAGAGAGAGATTTTGGGAGATGTTAAGTGAATGTATAGGAGCCTTTGAACCAAATGAGAGAGTAATTGTGGTAGGGGACCTGAATGCTAAAGTAGGAGAAACCTTTAGAGAGGGTGTGGTAGGTAAGTTTGGGGTGCCAGGTGTAAATGATAATGGGAGCCCTTTGATTGAACTTTGTATAGAAAGGGGTTTAGTTATAGGTAATACATATTTTAAGAAAAAGAGGATAAATAAGTATACACGATATGATGTAGGGCGAAATGACAGTAGTTTGTTGGATTATGTATTGGTAGATAAAAGACTGTTGAGTAGACTTCAGGATGTACATGTTTATAGAGGGGCCACAGATATATCAGATCACTTTCTAGTTGTAGCTACACTGAGAGTAAAAGGTAGATGGGATACAAGGAGAATAGAAGCATCAGGGAGAAGAGAGGTTTAAGGTTTATAAACTAAAAGAGGAGGCAGTTAGGGTAAGATATAAACAGCTATTGGAGGATAGATGGGCTAATGAGAGCATAGGCAATGGGGTCGAAGAGGTATGGGCTAGGTTTAAAAATGTAGTGTTAGAGTGTTTCAGCAGAAGTTTGTGGTTACAGGAAAGTGGGTGCAGGAGGGAAGAGGAGCGATTGGTGGAATGATGATGTAAAGAGAGTAGTAAGGGAGAAAAAGTTAGCATATGAGAAGTTTTTACAAAGTAGAAGTGATGCAAGGAGGGAAGAGTATATGGAGAAAAAGAGAGAAGTTAAGAGAGTGGTGAAGCAATGTAAAAAGAGAGCAAATGAGAGAGTGGGTGAGATGTTATCAACAAATTTTGTTGAAAATAAGAAAAAGTTTTGGAGTGGATTA